AATGGGCTGAAAATCCCAAGTGGCGGTACCCCTATTCAAGTAAGGAGACCATAAGGAATCCTCGGATTGTCGCGCATTACCTTGCTGAACATCCCGGAAAAGTCTGCATCTAAAGTCTGCACATAAATGCGATTACGACGTGCAGCATGGAAAGATGTATGTTAGGATGGGCAAGAATAAAAATGAAAAAACGACCGAATGAACGACAGCATAAACGAGATTCTCCGATGTTATTGCACGAATGAAGAAGTTGAAATGGCAATGAGAAAGAGAGGCTGCAAGAAAAACCGGTTGTCATTGGGCCGAAGAAATATTAGATTTCCATAGTAATTATGCGTTATTAGTAAACAGCTATCGTTGGAAAGCCTACGATTAATGGCAGGATGAGCTGTAGAAGTCTGCTGGAGCAGCGTAGAGAAGAATCGCAGAAGACACCATTTTATGTTAAACGTTTCAGAGGTCTTCAGCAGTGAAACGGAAAGATCAATGATGACTATGAGATATAAAGTATCATTTTCAACTTTTTCAGCTTGTCTGACTGTGTCGTACGACAAACATAAAAGATACTAGATTAACAGTTTGGTACCGACCAATGGTCTTATAGACTCGAAAGCACTGTTTTCGAAAAAATGCATCTAAAGACGGTACAATGATCACAGCACTGTAGCACACTGCTTAACGCCTATTACGACAAACTTTGCTGTCTTGACAATGATGCGAAGAATGTTTCCTTTCCTTTCCAGGCATAGCTTATAATGGCAATCAAAGTACCGACATCTTTTCTCAGAGGATGGGTTTAATGGCCGAAAGCAATTTCCGTGGTGAGTTCTTCGAGGATCAATCGAGACGTAAGGTCGCAGTCCAGCTAGAACAGTCGATTATTTTTGAATTATAGACCTGCTCTCATTCTGCTAATGACTGAATCAGATATTAGAAGTGTTGCTACTAGCTGTGGTATTTTTTGTACAATGTTTTGCTGTTTGAAATCTTCACCTTCTAATTTAGGGCATTATTCGACAACTGAAGGCAAAAGGACACAAGATGGTCCAAACAGGACAATTTTCAGATTTTTTCGCGATTCGTCGAAACACAAATGGATTCTTGGAAGCCTATGCAGATCCGAGGGAAAGAGGCTCCTATCCTTCTGGTTACTGAACGTCGGAAGATCATCAGTTGCAGTCTTTGCGTGCTTTTTGGGTTTATACTTTCATGAACCTACTCACTTAATTCTGCTGAATCCTTTTTCTATCATTTACGTTTCATAATGTGTGGCTTCACAAAATAAAGACTTCTTTGGTGAGGCGATATCGAGTGAACAAACGGTTCGTAATGCGACAGCGTAACCTCGTTTGTTTTCTAGGATAAGAACTCAATTGTCCGTCGTGGTTATCAGCAAACTTTGCAAACTTAGTAAACTGTGTCGAAAGGCTGCATTGTTGGACATTCACTGACAAGAAGTCACGCATTTCTCTGGATGGCAGAGAAAAGACTCTCAAGATAGACTTTCTTTGCAAAGCAGCACATAAAACGACCGTAGAATAGATAGAAGAAGAGATTGCTCAAGTACATTGAACATATAGCATTGCGAAATTCTGAAATTTGTTTCATGGTGTTTAAATAATTGTCGAAGTACTGAGGCCGTTGGAAAAATGCAGCGCATCTCACAACCGATAAAAGTAAATCAAAACCAATGTTATTCCATCCGTAAGAATTGCTTTTGTCCGCCTCTCCACCACATAGAAGCCAGCTGACGTTCTGCCACTCTCTTTTGCGTGGCGGCCTTTGTTTGTACCGTTAACCAAGCAGCTTCGTCATTGAGTCATGCTAGCGTGTTGATCGACGACCGAGTATATTCTGTTACCGAGGGAAAACAGGTGGTCACTTGGGATGTCCAACTGTCGTTTTTCGGATGAACCAGAAGGCCAGCCAATCGTCGTCCCGAGTATATTTAAAAATCGTGTCTGACATCAA